CTTGAGCGCCTCCACATCTTTCTTATGCCGGTGACCCCAGAGCTGGACGCAGCACTCCAGGCTCAGTCTCACCAGAGCAGAAGGGGAAAATCCCCTCCCTCGACCCACTGGCCACACCACTTTTGCCACAGCCCAGGACATGGTTGACTGTCTGGGCTGCCAGTGCACGTGGTTGGCCCTTTTTCAGCCCAAACACTCATCTGCCCAGCTCGGGAGGCAAAGGTTTGTCCCAGGCATCTCCACAGACACGGGAGAGCTGGGTGGTTCCCATCAAGGGCTCCGCACGGGCTAGATACCATCGCAGCCTTTGCATCAAAGGTGAGTGAGTCACTCCCTCTCTCGGGCTCATCTTAAACTCAGCCTGGGAGTTCCCAGCCTTCTGAGCAAGAGTGGCAGGGAAGGATGGGGCAGCAGTTTGCAGATCTGGTGCCGCCCCGCTGCAGAAAGAAAATTGCTCTTCCCACTTACCATCAGCATCTTCAGATCTGCCCGTTCTGCTGGATTTTTAATTAAGCTGAAATGAGAAGAACAAGAGAACAAAACCAACGCTGAGTCTTATCAGGCTGGAGAGGCCTCCAGCTTCACCAAAAAGCCGCTCGGTCTCCAGGCTGCATTCCCCAGGAGCCTGGCAGCACGGAAAGGGCTCAGAAAGCACCATCTCCGACAGCCCAGCTCCGAGGGAGAGCTGCAGGATCCGCCTCCTCTAGGCCCTGTGGATGAACTGCGCCCTGCCCAGGGAGAAGAAGGCCTAATGCTTGGTGGGGATTAATGATTTTTGTAATGTCCAATCTCTGGGATTTCATGGGAGCTGCGGCAGCATCTTCAGGTGTTCCCCCCACTGCGTCGGAAGGTCTGGAAGTCGATGGTATATGCCTGGTGCCTGCAAGGCTGCGGGGTGACTCACAGCCCCAGCAATCTGCTCCACCATCCCCCTGCCAGGCTCATATTTAGAAGCTGCTGGGATACTGCTAAGCATCACCACAAATAAACGGCTTTTATTCCAACCCTTCCCAAGGCAGGAGTTTCCAGCGCGACGTGGGCTCGCACTGCAGCCAGGGAGAGATCACCTACAGAGCACGGAGAACGCTGCGTTACGCTCAACGTTTTGGGTGGAGCAGCAGCCTGCAGAGCTGCCAAGGGAGCACACACAGGCCCCCACCTTCAGCCATAAGATGAAGTCCTTACCATTTATTTACAAACTCTTGGAAATCTTGCGTGAAAACTCCATTTGGCAGCTTGGGAGGTGGCTGCAGAGAAAAGGAGAAGGTTTTCAGCATTACTGTGTGTTAATTTGTCAAAAAACACCCCTCAAGCGTCACCTCCGGTCTTCAACGAGCTGCAGAAAATCTCAGCTCTACAGCAATCCTCCTCGCTGCCCTCTACAACCTGGGAACTGCTCCCTGCCTTTTCCTACCCTGGCAGCACAGCACTGCCCAGCACGACGTGCAGCTGGGAGACCCCACGCCGAATCCCTGCAAAGCTGGGAAACCACAACTGCAGCATCGCAATTCTGGATCCAACCTCCCCAAATCCCAGCTCTGGCAACGCCTACGGCGGGCAAAGCGGATCCAGAGATGATAATTAGGGGTCAGCTCCTATCAGCCCGAGAGGGGAAGCTGCTCTTTCCACTTGCTGGTGGGATGGACCCTGCTTTGCGAGTCTGGGAGGACGTTTCAGCCTGGGATTTTAGCCCTGGTCATCCTCACTCAAAGGGCAGTTCACACTTCATCTGAGAAAACGTGCCCGACCTCAGCACCTGCGCCGAGGGAGCGCTCATCCTGCGCTGATCTAGGGAGGAGCGCGTTCGAAACGGCTGGTTGAGAAGGAGCATGTCACTACGGCCAGGAGTTCCCCTCACTGCTCTCCTCTTTCAAGGGTATTAGGAACCTCCTCGGGCAGAGCCTTACTGCAAAACCAAAGACGCTTTTGCGATACAAAGAGACAGGAAGAAAGAACGGGGAGAAGGGAAGGATGTCAGTGCCGCTCAGAGGGGCGCTCTGTCGAAAAGCTCCCATTCAAGAGAAGGTTCTGGAGCCCGCCCTGACTCAGCAGAGCCAACACACCACTGTGGTACCTCAGAGAAGCCCAGCGGAACCGACAGCGAAGAGACACCCACCTCATTAACTATGTAATCCAGCAGTTCAAAGATGGCCATTGCAGGCCGGCTGTCCATCCCGTGGCCTGTGTGGTCAAGATGACATAAACAGTGGTGAGAGGCTGTTCAGGGACAGCGAAGGGCTGCGTTTTGCGTGAAAAGCACACGTGCTGTGGGACTTTTGCTGAGCGAGGCAGAGGCAAACCCACTTGGGAACTGACTCGCGGTTAAAAAAAATAACAAAGACAAAACCAAAACGCATACCCAAATTTCCGATTTCTTTCACCGTGCCTCTAATCCAGATTTATTTCCTAGCTTGGAGCATTTGGAGAGGACCAGCCCATCTGCTGTGGCAGGCTGGCAGTGCTTCTAGAGCCTTCTGCTTCCAAGCAAATGGCTCAAGCGGAGCCTCCTCCAAACACCCGCGTCGGTTTGGTACTTCCATGAGAGCTCCCAGCAAAGCTCTTCCCAAAAAGCTGCCTAGCTTGGAAGGAACCTGCTGGCAGCACGGGCAGAGCCCGAGGAGCAACAACAGTGTCCCTCAAAGCATCTCCTCCGGGGGGTCCACATCCCAGCAGCCTGCACCACCCCCAGCACGGGGTGCTTCGCTGCGTGGCTCGAGCCTTCTCGCGGGACACAGCAGGGTCTCACAGCAGATAAATTGAGCTCTTCAAAATCCTAATAGACCCTGGTTGGCATCCTGAGAGCAATCTCCTCGCCTCCCCACGCAAGAGCAGACTCCTGCCTGCGCTCGCTAGGAATTACGAACCTCTGCAGTAGGGTGGATTCTGCTGGCACACTGACATGGTTCCATCTGCCCTGCAGCGAGGGGCCTCCCTAGAAACACTCACCTCCCCACACCACCTCATCCAAAACGGGCTTTGGCTAACCCAGCCACACCGGAGCGAAACCCGACCCCTTCTCCCCCACCTCTGCGTGTTGTTTCCAATGCATACGACAGCCCCTACCACTGACGGGGCGTCCTGGGGGCCTGGCCCGCGGCGAGATGCTGTGAGACTCTCCCTCTGCCCCGTCCACCACAGGACGGCCAAATATTGCTTCCAGTTCCTTGGAGTCTGGCGGGGGGATTGGGTACCTTCCGATAGACAGCTCCACTAACGACAGCCCCATGCTCCAGATGTCGGACTGGACCGAGTAGTGGGTGCCCTGCAACCGCTCGGGCTGGGGAGGGGGGAAAGAGCACAAACACACAGACACAGAACGTCAATACGCCAAGTCATAAACATCACACACCGAAATGAAACAGAGGAGACTTGATATCCTTATGTCCCACCCCCCCCATCTCAGCTCTCCACCCCTCCAGGGAAAGGGCTGTCCCAACGGGGTCACGTGCAAAGGGGATGGATGCAAAACAGAACCCCTGTGCCAATGTAAAGCACTTGCATACACCTAAGCAGCTGCTGCAGGTGAGCAGCATTTACAGCTGCCTGTACTTCAGAGCGCGGAAGACACCGTGGGAATCCATTTCTCAGTATGTCGAGATCTAACAAACCTGATTTACTGACAAACATGGTTTTTTCCTGCTTGTTCCTCTTAATACCCCAAGAGGACTTTTGAGAAGCAGAAAATCCACTCCAGGCTCTTACCATTGAAAGACAAAAATTAAATCAGTGCAAGTCACCCGTACCGGCGGCTCGGAGGCAGCTGAAGCAGGGGGTATTTATAAACAGCCCCTGTCTGACTGTCACTGCTTGAGTAACCATTCCCAAAATACAAGAGCAGCTCGGACCTAAGCACGGCAGCGGTCTGATGGCTTCCCTAATAACCCACCACGACACACACCGCGGGGAGAAGCCCCCCAGCCACGCTCTGCCCTTCCACCAGCGGGAGCTGGGAGCCAGCCGGGAGGTGACGTTATTGGTAGGGGCGCTGTGTCACCTGCAGCTGGGCTGACTGTGATTCCCATTTACAGGGGAGGCACAGCCAGCTCTCCCTGCAGCTCGCTCTCACCGGCTGACCCCAACTCGGGTTTTAATTTCCCATTAACCTCTACCAAACTGGTTTTACCCCCATTTTGCTGGCAAGTACACACGGTCAAAGCGGCAGTGGCGGTGCGTGTGCCGGCATCCGCATCCCCTCCGCACTCAGTTTTTTTGGACAGAGCTTGCACACAGAAAGAGGAGACGTTTTTGAACCCACAAACGCTCACCAAAATAAAATATATCTGTAGGATCCAAAACATCTTTCCCTGCAAGTGTCTGCACTTGCACATGCACCACTGCTAGCTGGGCACAGGTTGGAGCCCACCGGACACCAACTCCTCAAGAGGATGCAGAGGGGTCTGCTCCTCCGTCACAGGACGGTGCCTTGAAGCACTGGGCTCCCCCTCGATGTGAGCCAGGAACGGGGCAGTCTGGGTGAGGATGGAAACCCCGTGAGTCAATCAGACACTACAAGCTGATTCCTTAAGAACCGAGTTGAAGCCAGATCAGAAGAGACACGAACAAAAGTTGAGAGGAACTTACAGACATGTAGGACCGAGTTCCCACAAAAGAGTTTGCCATGGAGTCAATGAGCTGGCCGCTGACCCCGAAATCACACAGCTTAATCTCTCCTCGAGAGTTCACCAGGATGTTAGAAGGCTTCACGTCTGGCAACAGCGAGAGAGAAGAGCGTAAACGCGACTCTAGGTAAAACACAGGGCTCCTGTACTGCAGGCAGTTATTTTTAGGTTCCTCCTCTCACCTCTGTGCATGATTTGGTGCTTCTCTCTCAGATACGCCAAGCCTCTCAGAACCTAGAGGGAAACCAAAGGCAGGATGAGATCAGAGGTGGGAAGTGCTTTGCCCTCAGCAGGACACGTTGCATAAACTCGGGGTGCTGCCACAGTGCAGCTTGGCCAGGAAAGCCGCCGCGTAGCATCCACGTTTCAGGGGTTGCAATTTATCACCAAGTCCGAGATAAATTTTCTCACAAGTCCGAGAAAGCTTTTCCCAGGCCTTCTCCGGGAGAAGCCAACACCAGCCAGTACAACGCAAGGGGTCAGAGCTAGCGAGTGGTTGGGAATATGCTTTCCCTCTCCCCTCTTTCACACCACTGCCTCTTGCCCTGGGGCCAGGAGAGCGCATACGGGGAAACGAAGAAAGCTTCCGAAGGCAACACAAACGGTATTCCCAAACTGCATGTGGCAAATCCTTTCTGGAAGGGTAACTCACCGCTATACTGACTTTCCCCAAGATCTCCTCGGGAATTCTTTTGGCTTCTTTCAACACTTGATCCAAAGAGCCGCCATCCTAGAATAAAGCACAGCGAAATGACCCTCACACCAATCCCGGGCGCAGCCGGCTGTACAGGCAAGCGTGCGCAGGGCGGGCAAGCTGCGTGGCAGCAGTGCACAGCAACCCGGCTCAGCTGCCTGCAGCAGCTCAGCATCCAGCACCCTCCCTTTAGCAGAAAAAAAACCACCCCATATCTGCCGATCAGAGCTCAAGCTATTTTCATGCTATCTTCTATCAGGTCTAGTTCTTGCTATTAGTTCTTAGCTTCCTTTCCCCTCGCGGTAAGTGCGAGGATGATGCTGTCAGTGCTGATCCGGAGGAGCGACAACACCGTTCTCCGCCATAGAGAAGAGAAAACGCGCGCTGTGCTTCACGGCAAGCTCCGTCGAGCGGCAGGTTTACAACATTTCCGTTTGGCCAACCCCCAAACCTCTGCTTCCGCTTTCCAAAAAGTCGATCTCTGTCATTTTGACGCCCAAGCAAGGAGCGTGCAGCTCCTGCCGGGAGCAGAGTGGCCTTGCCACAGCCGGACCTTGCTGCCAGCACCCCAACCCGTTTCACCTGCAATTTCAGTCTCGGGGAGATGGAATTCAGGGAGCAGCAGTTTGCAGAGGAGGAACGGGGGACTCACCATGTGCTCCATGCAGATGGAAATCTCTCCGTCGCTGTAGAAGGCTCCATAGAAACCCACGATATAGGGGGAATTACACTCATGCAGCACTTGCAGCTCTCGGATAATCTGATTCCTGATGGCCGGTTTGATTTCTAAATGAATCAGCTGCCAAGAAAGAAGAATACTCAAGGTGTAACACCTGGAAAAAACTTACAGGAACCACGTTAGCAAGTCCTGAGGGTTGGAGAGAATCAAAAATCCATCTTCAAGGGAAGCTCTGCTTTGGCACAGACTTTTTAACCATTTGCAGACTGCTGTTAAAGGTAGAGCCCCTCGCAGCCTGCCAGCGATTGAAGCAGCCACCGGCCAAGTAACACACAGAGATCGCACAGGATACGGCGCAGAAAGACAAGTCCGAAGTTCGGTGCAGATCTGACTCAGCAGTCGGGAACATCTTCACAAGCTCTGCAGGTACTGTAAGAAGAGGTGCTCTGATGTCAAGGAAACCACAGAAAGTAGAAGAAACATGAAGATCATGCACATGAAAGAGCAGCTGCTTTATTCCTCGGGCTCCACAGAGTCAGTTAACAGGGCTGCGGGTGGGGAAGCCAGAGGCTAAGAAACACAAGAGCAGGCCAGAAAAAGAGCCCCTGTTCCTGTAAGCTCTAGGACACCCAACCCCTACAGACCTACAAAGGCCGGTCTCTGCAGGAAGGACAGCAGCGCTGCAGCTTGCCTTTGCTTCAGTTTCTGAGCACGGAGCTCCCAACAAACTCAAAATCACCCAGTGACATCCAAATCAAATGCCCTGGAAGGCTGTGAGAGCTCAGTTCTGAGTGAACCCATCGAGGGAAGTGGATTTGCTCACGCAGACCCACTAACCCATCCCACCAGCAGGTGACTTTCAAGGCAGCTGCCCTACAGAGGAGCGGTTGCCGTGTTCTTGCCGAGCACTCTCTTTTTGGCAGGCAGGTGAAGCATCTCCTGGGTTTTGTACTGTAGGGCACCCCAGTGAAGACATCGCCCATAAACACACGGCTGAGAGGAACCACTGTCACGGCTGCTTGGAAATACCCTGGGGATCTGTGAAGTGGGTGGCAAGGAATGTGTGCGCGCACCAAACCCATCCCTCCACCTGCCATTTCCAGTCCTCCTTAGCCACAACCTAGGATCCTCAGGAGATCTGCTTCCCACTCCTTCCATCCAGTTTAGTCAAGTTCATTAAAACCTGCTTCACTGGAAAAAAAAGGAATAAACTTATGTTTTCCCGCAAGGTGCTCCAAATCCCGGGGAGCTGCTGCAGAGAGTGCAGCCTGTCCTGGGGAGGACTCTGAGACAGGCAGGGCAGCTCAGAGGTGAAGCAGGAGAGGCTCCACCTAAAACCCTGCTGGGAGCAGCCGGGACCATGGTCCTGACCTAGGAGAGGCAGTTAGGGTGCAGATGGGTGCAGAGAGATCCCAAGTGAAGCCGGCTCTCCCAGAGCCAGGGCAAGTACCAGACGCTCCAGCACAGCACCACAGCCCACTCCTCCTGCTTCCAATTACCTTCCGTGCCATAACGAGCCCTGAGGGTTTGTGCTGCACTTTGGTGACCACACCGCCATTGCCAGCCCCCAGTTCGGATATCCTCTCAAAGTCATCGTCCTTCAGCTCGCCCACTTTGGCTTTCTGCGTGAGGAAAGCTTCCAGGCGCTTCTTCTGCTGCTCGTCCAGCTCCAGCTCCTCGAGCTTCTTCTGAAGATCCACCAGGTTTGCCCTGGAGAGGGGAGGAGAGACAGGAGGGACGGTCAGGAGGCAGTGAGGGCAGCACCAGAGAAAGACTGTTTTGGGGTTTTTTTTAGGGAAGCAGAGAGAAATAACTGACAACTGTCATCTGACACATACTCAGCCCCTGATACAGCAGCGAGACTAAAGCAAAGCTCTGGAGAGGGGCAGGGCTCAGCTCCAGTGCTGACAGGGTCACACAGACAGCGAGACCCATGGTGCAGTATCTGCCCAACACGCACATCTCCTCTGGAGAGGAGCTTTAGTGCAGTCAGCTGTTTTGGGAAAGGCAAGAAGTAGGGAAAATCCTTCAACCCTTAAAGAGGCAGCACAGCTCCGCCCGGAGAGAACGACGGCACCAGCAACCTCTCCCCAGCACGGGAAGCCAAGCTTGGCTTTCACTGTGAAACACGAGAAGGGCTTTCCAGGGTGTCCAGCAACCTCCTGCTCCCTTATGCCCCCCCCAAACCCACCGCTCCTGAGCACAAA